GAGGAGAGAGCAGCAGGTACCACTGTTTGCCAGGCGGCCCGAGCTACCATCTGCCTCTCGGGGAAGAGGGAGGGCGGTTGGCAGGGCAGAGGTTTCATGGGCCGGTCCGTCTCCGCAGACCTGCTCAGCGGCCAGTTCACTATCAGCACGCCGAGTTGTTCTCTCATACTCACCAGGACAGTCACGTCAGGCCTTATTTTTAGTCCTCACATTGTATTTACTCCCCATACAGATCCTTGCGGTTCCTTGAAATGGTCTGACTCTAGCATAGTGCTATGTGCACACAGTGAGTATCAGATTTTTTCCATTTCTGAAACATCAGTTCCCAGGGAGGAAGGAAAGTTCATGTCTATTGAGCATCTATAACACTCACAGGTGCTCTGTCATTCACACTTCACAACCATCTCCCGAGGTTGCTGAAGTTACCAGTTCCCATTTCACAGGTGAGGAACCCTAGCCAAATTCCAGATGCTCCCAGGCGTGCAAAGGAGGGTGAAGCGGGATTTGAACAGGTGTTAGGTTGTCTCTCTGCTGGACACTGCCTTGCACACCGCACAGATTTGTCTCATTTAACCTCCTGACAGCCCCACAACGGAGGTACTGACAGGGAAACTGAGCCTTGGAGAGGTGAAGCAACTTGTTGGTGTAAGTGGCAACCAGAATGCACCTGGCTTCCTGGTTCTGTGTTCACTGGCCCAAGTCTTAACCCGAACTTTTACTCACCAGGCATCCATTCTCTGAAATGGGCTATGGCCAGGGGTTGGTTCAAAAAAGGTTCTTTGCATTTCGGACACTGCAGCACGTGAGTGGTTTTATCCGAGCTGGTGAGCGGATTCTCGGTCATCCTAGTCAAATAAGTATTACACAAATGTGATGTGTTTTTCTCCCCCAGATCGGCCATGGATTTGGAACATTCCTTATGTCAAAGCCCCAGACACACACGGGAACATGTGGGTCCCATCCTGAGGGGTGAAGCTCTGTGAACCTTGAGTGTTTGATGTGGAGCCCCAAACACTGGAGTCCTTGTTGGTATTGGGTGCTCGCGTCCCTCAAAGTGTCTCTGTACCCCTGGGAACTCAGCAGACGTCACTTGTGGAACATGGATGTTGGGTCATAATTGTAGTCATTGTTAACACTTCTCACTAAAAAAAAAAAGTTCTATTTTCTTAATTCCCTTTTCTATGCTGTACTCTGGAATGAGAGCTATTAAACTTCACAGTGTGAAAAGAACATGTAGATACGAAGTTCTCCTGGTAGTGACTGGAACCTCGCGATGCTGTTGGCCTTCTGAATCGAGGGTTCACTGTGTGTGCTGGGTGTTCTCGGGGAAGGTGCTTTCCCACCCAGCCCCCTCTCCGCTGCCCGAGTGTCTTGGGGTTGTGGGCCCAGGGCTGCAGATTCCAGGCCTGTCACTGAGGCTGGTGGGCTGCCCTGCAGACCAGTGAGCCATGTGATCCCCAGCCCAGCAGTTTCTGGAGGCTGTCCATCCTCCCAGCACCAGGCCAGCCTCTCACTGACTGCAACGGGTTCACTGGCTGGGGCCACCTACCGTCTCCTCACCCGTTCCACAGGCTGCGTGGGTGTCTCTTCATCCATCCCCACAGATTTCTAGCAAAGATGCCTCACACATCATATGAAAGCACACAAGTGTTTCACTTGCAAGAAATCGCAAAAGGTGACCCAGTTGGGCACCTTCAGATCACAGGTGAGGAAACAGGCCCAGAAAGGTTCAGGATGTCCTGGTCTCACAGCTGGCTCCCAGTCTCACAGCTGGCTGGGTCAGAATTCCTCTAATGATTCACTTAGATTTTCACTATGTGAAAAAAAAATTTTTTTAAATCTGTAAATAAATATTGAACTCACCATATGCAGGGAGAAGTATTGGTAGACAGGAGGAATGTACTGATGTCTACAACACTTACTTTGAATGCATTTAAACCAGATGGGTTGATGGATGGAAAGAGGCATGGGTAGATAGGCACTAAAGCATGTACTAGTATAGTAAATGTTCATTGTGGAATTGAGGTGGTGAATATATGAGTGTTCACTGTAAACTTCTTACAACTTTGAAATTTTCATAATAAAATGGGGGGAGGGTGGTTGTAGGACTCACCCATGGTGTATACACATGACCCCATAGCCACTATCCCCCTAAGGCCAATAGACTAGGTCAGTGGTTCCCAAACTTATTTGGCCTACTGCCCCCTTTCCAGAAAAAATATTACTCAGCGCCCCCTGGAAATTAATTTTTTTTTACCCCTAGAAATTATTTTTTTTAATTTTAATAGCAAACAGAAAGATATATGTATTAATGTTTCTACCTTTTTCGTAAAATATAGTAAAGAAAGGTGTAAATTAGAAACATTGAAGTTTGAAATTATGAAACTATTTATTGAACTCAGAATAGAAAGGTAATACAAAAAAAGTTAAAACAAATGCACCCCCCCCCCCCCCCCCCCCCCCGGATCGCTGCAGCGCCCACTTTGGGAATCCCTGGACTAGGTAAAAGAGGGGCATTCTGGAGCTGAGAGTAACAACACTCAGGCATCCGGGCTTCTGATGGCAGGGAAATCCAGAGCTGTGGGTTTTGTGTGTGTGTTTTCTCTCCGCTCCTGGGGAGTGTAGGTGGGTGGGTGGGCTTTGAGCCTGAAACAACTCTTTGGAGAGGTGGAGAACTTGCTTCGCTCGAAGATGCCCACGTATCTCTATTCCTTTACTAGTACGTATCCACTTTCACTCCCACATTTCAGGGGCCGGTAGGTGGGGGCGAGCTGCCTGAAAGGGATGGAGCTCCCTCTTCTGGCCTGAGAGGAGCCCACACAGCCGGACAAGCGCTGGACCCGCCTCTTCAGCACCCACTTTGTGTATCTGCGGCACCCGG